GGAATTGGAATCACGGTTGAACACGGTAGGGCCGTTCTTTCTAATCCGCGACGAGACAAGAACCGGTCGATAAACGCGCTATATATCAGGGGGGAGGGAGAGAGAGAGAGAGAAAGAGGAAAAGGAGGGGGGGGCTCGAGTGCGCGTCGACGGGATGAGAAAGCTGAAAGGGAGGTGTGGAGCGGAGAGAAAAGGGAGGGGAGGTTAGGCTGGCCTGTAGGCGTTTGCCCTATTTAACCCCTTTTCAACCCAAACTTTTTCATATTTCACGTTCGCCCACCTGATCCGCCTCCCGAAACGCGCGGAATTCCGGGACGAAGATGAACATCCGGAAGCGGATTTGAACGCGGAGATCCCGTCCAAATATCTGAAATTGGAGAAAGGATCGGAGAGAAGATGGAGATGGAGAGAAGGAGAGAATCTGTCCCCTTCGATTTCGGTAACTGAACTGAGGAATCGGAGGAAAGAGAGATTGATACGGAGATCAATACAACCGGGTTGCACCGTTGACAGAGTCTCCTTGACAGAGTTCTGTCTTCTGTAATAATAATTAATAACAAAAAAAAAAAACGAAGAAAAAGGAAGAAATGAAAGAAAAGGAAAATTTCGGGGGGAAAAAAGGAAGAAGAAAAATTGGGAGGGGCGTCGATTACTCTTTCGTTTTCGGTTTACCGCGCCTGAGATTGCACGTCTCCGGATTCAGCCCGCGCATTCAGCGAAGAGCGTGTACGCGTGACAAAGGCTTTTCAAGTCGAACGAAGGACAATCAGTCACAACGCGTTGCATCACAATGTTCCACGGAACGAGTGTCTGCCACAGAGGGCCCCCTGTATAAACGAGACGAACATTATCGATCCGCATAGTCGCAATGAGAAATAATGCATCCTCTGGAGGAAACACCGTTCCGATCCCGAAAGAAAATACAAGCGGCGGGCCGAGAATAAACTGTTTCGCATCTCTCTCCCTTCCTCCTCCTATCCTCTCCTTCCCCCCCCTCTTTGGAAATACGAGCAGTCACGGGGCCAGGCAGCTCTTTCAACGCTTGCTCGCTGTTTCTCAGACGCATCCATTTGTATCTCAACCTTTCACCTGATTTCTCGCCTCGTTTAATCCGTTGCGTTCATTCGGTATAAGTCTCCCATTTCTTTCTTCAGGCGTTTCTCTCCCCTTTCTCCACCACCGATTGATATTTAAATCGCGGGGCGGATTTCCATGGATTTATCCTCGTCAAACTTAAAAGCAGGGCGATCAGCAGATTTCCATTGTTCTTATTATCGAAAGTGTACGCTTTGCGTATAGTATGGGATTTTAGAATTCTTGAATTAGCTTACAATCCTATCTTAAAATCATTAAATAATAATTGATAAGTAGTTCTTATGTATCTCTTAAATTTACGACTACTTTTTTGAATTGATGATGATCGAACGAACGACTAATTTGAATTGAATTGTTAAAATTTCTTCCATTAAAAACTTGTCAATTTGTTAGTTAGAAGATTCCTCGATTCCATCATTTTAAACCATCGTCGAGCGATCAATCGCGATTTCGTTCATTTTAATATCAAATTTGATGAGTCGATCTGTTCAGAAAGAGAGAGAAAGGGAAAGAAGAGAGAATCCCTTCCGGGCCTGCAAAGTAAACCCAAGACTCTTCACCCAAAGAAATACAATTGACCCTGGCGCCGCCGCTTCGAAAGCTGACCGAAATCCTCGATTGTTCGCACGGGCTCACCGTTGGAAAATCCAAGAATTACTGTTAACTGTAAGTGGAGTTACCGTCCAATGAATTTATTAGGGGCTGGCTTAATTTCAAGCGTCAGCTTAACTCGCGGCCGAGGGTAAATTAGATAGAAGAAGACAGCTCCTCTTCCATAATTTAATGCGAGGAACTCCTACGTTTACTCCGATGCTTTAATTTCAACCACTCTCGGGCTCACGAGCCGACTTCGCCAAAGGAAAATTGAGGGTCCGTTGATAAATCGAGATTACGGGGCTAACCGTTGCCTCGAGCAACTGCCCCGCGCTATACTTTTCTTCTATGGAAAAAATGCCGCGGATAAAGCCGTGAAAAATCGTTCCCCGACTCGCTTATTACCTTTGTCTTGAACGCAAATTGCTCGTGTATCGTGTTCATCGTCTCGAGGAAAATTCGGTCGAATCTCGTAACTGCGTACATTTGTTCCCTTGAAACAAGAAACGATTACTTGATTTATCGCGTTTCTTATTTGAAATTGAAATTATGTCTTATGCACAAATGGAACGGACAGAGTTATATTTTTACGATGATTAATGATAGACAAGCTAACCTAACCTAAGATTTAAGACAAGCTTTAAATTATACATTGCGATCAACATGTTACAAAATGTTATAAAAATATTAATGTTACGTGATACGTAATTTCATTATTATGTAAAAAAGAAATATTACATTAACGTGTTAATGGAGGAAAATACACTCAATCTAATCTAAGATTTAAGGTAACCTTTGAGGTTAATAATACATTGAGATCAACATGTTACAAAAAATTACAAAAAATAAATACTATCTTAAATATAAAATTAATAATAATAAATAAAAATAATATAACTATATCTTAAAATAAAATAATCTAAAAATAAATACTATATCTTAATGGAAATACATCCTAATGGAAAACACACATAACCTTTAAGATTAATAATACACTGAGATCAACGTGTTACAAAAATAAATACTAATGTTACACGATATCTGATTTCATTATTATATTATGTAAAAAAAAAATATTACATTAACATCTTAATAGAGGAAAACATAACCTAAGATTTAAGGTAAGCTTTAAGGTTAATAATACACTGAGATCAATGTGTTACAGAAAATTACAAAAATAAATACTAAATATTACATTTTAATGGAAAGCACATTTAACCTAACCTAAGATAACCTTTAAAGCTAATAATACACTGAGATCAACGTGTTATAGAAAGTTACAAAAATACAAACTAATGTTACACGATACATGATTTCATTATTATGTTATGTAAAAAAGAAATATTGCATTAACAGCTTAATAGAGGAAAACATAACCTAAGATTTAAGGTAAGATTAATAATACACTGAGATCAACCTGTTACAAAAAATTACAAAAAATTACAAACTAATGTTACACGATACGTGATTTCATTATTACGTTATGTAAATAAGAAATATTTTAATTAACACTTTAATGGAGGAAAACATAACTTAAGATTTAAAGTAAGCTTTAAGGTTAATAATACACTGAGATCAACGTGTTACAAAAAAATTACAAAAATACATACTAATGTTACACGATACGTGATTTCATTATTATGTTATGTAAAAAAAAAAAAAAAATATTGCATTAACACCTTAATGGAGGAAAATACATTTAACTTAACCTAACCTAAGATTTAAGATAAGCATTAAGATTAATGGTGCGATCAGCATGCTACAAAAAGTTGCAAAAAATAAATACTAATGTTACACGATACGTGATTTCATTATTACGTTATGTAAAAAAGAAATATTGCATTAACACCTTAATGGGGGAAAACACGTACGTTCAATATTCTTACGGAGAGAGAAATCTTGATGGGAGAGAGAGATAAATAGCCGAGGCAACAGTGGTTTGCAGGCGCGTGTTGTAACCACGCTTGCACTTCGCGGAGAATTATCTCTTTTCCGGTGACACAATCCGGTTAGACTTGGAAACTAGATAAACAGTATTTTCCGTGAGCATTGAATGATGAGAGTATTTATTTTTAACCGGTTACCAGTTCGGAAAAAGGCGTGAAAAAAGAGAGATAAAATATGCCGCATTTCTTCGATCGATTGAATTATTCCTAAGAAGAATATCAAACGTCCAATTATTATCACTGGTTCATAAATAATTACAATTAAGATATTTAATATTTGAACGATCATAAAATGTGAAAAATCGAAATTAAATAATCTTACGATCGAATGGAAAAATATTGTAGTTGAGAAAATACACGATTGCAACTCGAATTGGGATTATATTATTAGGATAATGCATGCCATCTGATTAAAATTATCCTTTTATCGTATAAGGTACCGCATAATTCGTATTTCGCGTAATAATATATTTGCATAAATTATTTGGCATTGCATTAATTCATCATTGAAACGCGACTACGCGATAAACGCAGAAATTTAGTAATTTTAACGAGAAAATAAAAAAGAAAAGAGATGAGAGAAACCGGTTAATTCGTACAAATGTGTCCGAATATATTTCACAATTATACTCTAGGAAACCATTGTTCATAATACTTATGCATTCTTTTTTTCTATGCATTCAGTTTTACGTAATACCGGGAATATTAAGCAATAATTATTCCAAGTTTTAACGAGGCTGATAAATCTGTGGAGAATAAGAGTTTCCATTTTACGACACATTTTACAACGAAAGAGTAATTTTAGCAAAGAATATAGATATCCAGTGGCCACTTGTAATATTCTAATTTTTATCAAGCTTTAAACATGTTCGAGAGATTTTTTTTATTAAAAATAAAAAATATTATTTGAAGTAAAATAATCGAAAAAAATATCATGTCACTTTAGATATATAAAATTATGTTAAATTTATAATTATAATTTTATGCAATTCTTATTTATAATTCTTTTGTTACTTTTGATTTATATTTCATCATGTATTAGTATAATTTTTTTATTTCTTATTTCATATTCTAAAAATTGATAATATCGTTTATTGATAAGTTATCTAATTGGTGATATAAAATTAAGTAAATATTGCATTATCAATAAATGCATAAATTTATATATTATATTCATAATTATAACATTTTATCATATCCATATTTTATTTATGATATTACTTTACGATCATTTTAAAAAACCAATTTGTTTCTTCAGTTTAGAAACACAAGATTATTTTTTAAAATAAAATAATCAAACGATTCATATTATTTTATAGAAAAACATAAAAATGTATTTGATTTCTCTTTAATTTAAGTACTTACCGAAATTTTGAAGCGTCACAATCTTCAATTCCAATTTCCTGATTAATATCTATAACAAAGAAGAAATTGAATTGTTAAAAAATATATAAATCAACATAAACACTTAACCTAAAAATATATCCCCATTATATATCTATATATTCCAAATGGCTTTTATAATTAAATTTCAAATTTAAAAAAAAAAGTAGAGCAATCAATTTAATTATCGTACAATAAGAAATATAATATAAAAATCAGAAAATTTTAAACTTCAGAGAAGCTCAACGGACTCATTTCCATTATAAATCGAATTCATCGTTTATCAATCGTTTCACGTTTGAATAAAACAGAACTGTGGAAATCAATCGGCCATTAAATAATTTCTTTTGCATCGAAAACTATTAAACGCCATTCCGTGATATTATTTAATTAACAATCAGAGAAATGCAATTAAACCCCGGGCCACCCCGACTAGAGATTGACGAGCATTAAAAACGACGATTTATATAGGTTATACCGTTTCGTTTGTATACATTCAACGGAAGATCTACCAACGAGAGATGAATGACATCGACGATCCTTTGTATTTAAATAATTTCCCCTGCTCGCGGAGATTTATGACCGTCTCCTAAATATCGACAGGGCGTTGGAAATCGTGTCGAACAGACATCAACGATGCCTTCTCTCTAACTTTCGTATCCATGGAATCTTACCGCGGATTTTGTTAAACATCACCAGCATTGAACGAAATCCAACCATTCAGGATGCGGATCGATAAGCGAACGTCGAAGATATTCCATTGCGTTCAAAGAATACACCTGGAAAATGCAATCTATCGTTGAATACACTTGATTTTATCCCTTGAAATCGGTACAGTCTGACCTCTTTAATCGAATCGATCAGGAGAATTATTTTATATATCTTTCTGAAATGTGAAATCTTTCTCTCTCTCTCTCGAATGTTATTATTAAATATACAATATATTAAAAATAAACCACGTCATAAATCCTATTATTAATTCTATTATTATTGAATTACAATTTAAAATTCTTTTGAGGTTAGGTTCACATTCACATTCGACTAGATTTTTTTCCTCATACAAAATTTCGTTTTATAATAAAATTGTTAATTAATAAATAAGTAAAAGAAATAAATAAAATTGTTAAGAAATTTTATGGAAAAATGTAAAAATAAGATATATTAAATATCTAAGATCAATACGAGGTATGTAAAATTAACCTCTCTCGAAGAATTTTTCAACCGAAAATATCTCGTGTAGGACACGTTCAAAAGGGCGAGGAGGGAAGAATTTTCCGTTTAATAATAAGATGGCGAATCGCTTTATGTCCCCTCTCCCAAGTTTCGAGCCAGTAATTTCAAAGAAGGCTCGCCTTAAGTGACGTCACAAATTGTTTGCAGATCGGAGATACGCCCGCGCGATTAATAACATCTATCAGTTCCATTCAATGGAATTTCTTCAGACGCGAATCCCTCATTTTTCATAGCGTGGCGTTTGCTTGCATAAACCTTATCTACCGATTTGTCTCATCACGAGATACTGTATCCCAACGATGAAAAATGCTCCACCACCGTTATGAAGAATCTTCCGAGTCAACTCAAGCTTTATTACGGATATATTAGGTTTTTGTGCACGCGAAACAATTTTAATCCAATAAAAACTTTAACCACGGGACAATTTCTCTTTGAAATATTTTACGTAAAAATATTTTTTAAAGTTGTACACTTATATTAGTTTTTATGAATATTGAATTGAAACTTCATTCCCTTTGTTATGTAAAAATTTATATATACACGTACACGTATACACGTAGTTGACGATTACGTACGCATGAAAAAAATAAGAATGACAGACAGTCTTGAGATTATTGCACATTATTTTCACGTTTGTATTTAAAACTTTGATCGATAAATTTAATTCGTAATATTTTAACTTTATGCTACAAATTTTTCAAGTTTATTTATCGATGAAAAACAAATTGGGCAAAAATTTTCAAAAATACGTTATAACATAACGCAGATACTTTTATAAACGGGATATAATTCTACGTAATAATTATACTTTAATCGGTATTTCAAAATATGAAATGTGAAATTGAAATACAAGGGATAATCAGAAAACGGTGGAAAATATTTTAATTTCAGCTTCAATGAATTTATCTTTCATATAATTTTTATGTGAAAATATTTTTTTATAATTCACATCATTAAGATTTGATCTTTAATTACGAGTTTCATCAAATTTTCATAAAAATGCAAATACGACACTAGTTTAGTTAAAATCTCGAATCGTTCCCATAGCAACGAATTAAATTCAAAAAGCAATTTTTGTTCAAAAGAAGCAATTTATTTTTCTATCTTAATGCGATAAAATTCACTGTTATTACACTGAAAAATTAGAAATGAAATATCTATAGAAAGAAAAAAAAAAAAAAAAACTCACATTTTGACATAAAATCGCAACGATACAATATTACCGATATCAACGATATCTCATAAATCGAAATTGAAACGCTACCAAAATCGTTTCTACGTTTCGAGAATATCATCTTAAAGAATAATACACCGTAGGAGGTAGCCGAATAAAACCCTGGGAGGAAGGAGGTCGAGGAAATATTTATTCGAAAGATCAGTGAAAGAATCAACAACAAGAAATAACATTTTCCTCTGGTGGTATCCTCTCCAAAACAAACAAACGTGTCCGCGACACGCAAGCAAATCCGGATATCACTTTGGTACATATTTCATGTTTCGAGTCCTCTTGAGCGTAACGCGAAACCTCTTCCTACAAATTCGATGCAGTTTGAGACAGCGGCAGATAACGGAGGAATCCGCAAGGGTAAAGTCGTGGGGTGAAAAGCAACCAAGAGAAAAATCTGGATTTTCAATTTCCCCCAGTATATGATAGGGGAACGTAGACACCATTGCACATTTTCCATTGTATCCTGTGAGAATGTTCCACCGATATCGTTGGATGTATCATCTCCTTCTCTCTTAATTCTTTCCTGTTCCACTAACGACCCAGAAATTTCAAAGAGAAATTTCAAACTTTATTTCGCAATGGTGATATTTTTCCAAGGAATCGAAAGAATAATTTCAAAGTTTGAAAATGATACGATTTTTCTAATTTTTTTATTACTTACTTATTAATTATAAAAATGTACAGTACGGATAATAAATAATATATATATATATATATCTCAAGAGTAACGAAAGATTGGATATATTAGAGTTATATCACTGCGAAGTCTCGAATCCTTATATGGGAACGTTCATATTGGCCTCGTATATGGTGGAATGGAATTAAATTTCGATGGGAAGAATTCGAAGAGAAAGAGAGAAAGCTTTGAGCGTGCACGATAGAAACATTTCTACTTTATTGGTTTCTTATGTTAAACAAAATCGTATATAATGGTTTCGCAGGCAAAATCGTCGTTGGGCGCACGTGCCCCCCTTTTTTCTTGGACTTTCCATACGGTATCCTTCTTGTTATTTATGACATAACAGAGCGCTGTCTGTCGCGAAGAGTGGAAAGAGGCAACTGCAGAATGGGGGGAGGGGGAGGGGAGAGAGGACAGCGGCTTATGATAAAATCGAATTTCCTCCGGTCGGATAAAAGGCAAACTAAAGGGAACAAAGAGAATATCTGCTCCTCCTGAGAGAAATAATTTTCTATCGACTACGTCTTCGCTGCCCTCCAGACTCTTTTCGTTGCTTTTGAATTATTCACTGGGAGATTGTTTTGTTTCCTCGACATTTGTAACGTCATCAAATAAATTTTCGCTTTTGTCACTCTTTTTTTTTCAAATTTCGCGCGCTTTACACACTTCGTCGACTACTAACCTCTTAAGATGATAATTCTTGTGCGATTCAACAATTGATATTTTCTAATTTTATTTGAATTTATTAAATGGCAATTGTGTATACAATTTTTAACGAATAATTGGAAGATATTGAGAAATAATTTTTTTTTTTTTTTTTTAAGGAAAGGATTATAAACGACAAATATTTTCGAAAGAAATTGAAGTTGAGACGAGAATAAGGCTAAACTAAAAAGCTTTCAAAGAATAATAGATTTCTTCTCTCAGCAGACGATATTTTTCTATCTCTATCTAAACATGACCTAAATTCTAGAGCGCCGACAAAAGGAGAGTTCTCTGGCTGGAACCTGGTTCCAGAACACCGTTTGATCTTTATTAGATTATTTTGTTAGGATAATTGTGTTATAAATGTAATTGAAAGCTCCGCTTCTCCAGTTTTATTTCATTTAAAATCGTAGACGACCTAGTTGATTTTTGTTGAAATAGAACAGCATGATCGGTAGCGAGTAACAAAATTTGTTAGAATGGAAAGACACGGTTTATTCTTTTTCATGATGATTAAAAGCAATAAAAATAAGCGTTCATAATTATTTTAATCTTTCTCGCTTGAAATCGATTTTGTAATGACGAAATTTCGGCCATAATCAACACATTTGAATAATACAACGATGAATATGATCGCTCCCACCTGGCCAATTTGAGACTTTTTTTAAGACATTTGCATACATGTGCGTTATTATGTATCAATCCAATCAATTCTAGCAAGACGATTTACATAATACAACGAGATTATAATATTAGAAACAGTTACTATAGAAGAAAAACATCCGGTTGTATACGCATAAACAATATATGCAAATTCAAATTAAAATGAAAAAAACATTTGTTCCATAAGTAAAATAAAAAACCTAAAATAATGATTATTTTATACAATATGAAAACGTTACAAAGAAATCTAATACAGTTTTTACGACTTCGTATTTCTTTAGCATTAATTAAAATTTCCATTAATTTTTATCACTATTATATTTATATAGTTCTCATGCAAATAATTTGTATTGCTCATGTAAATTTCATCGCGGGTACAACATTTTATATAATGCATCGTATCAATTTAATTAACTATGTTACATTATATAACAATTTTATTTAAAATTAAAATTTAATTTATTCTATGTCAAAAACAAATTGAAATATCGGACCGTGATTAAAAAAAGAAATTGCGAAGCTT